CGTGTAATTAAAAAGAAATTAAAATAACTGGATATGATCGATGCTAATAGGTTTATGCATTACTGGAAAGCCAGTAATAGATATGATTATTGAAACACATGATAAAGGAACGATTATATAATTAAGTTCTGACAAAGCAGTAATTCTCTCTGCGTAGAATTCAACGTATCGCATCGAAAGATTTTTATTAATGTCTCTCGGGAAATATCCGAAGTTAAAATTTTATATTTGAGGTCTCCTTTCTCTCTACTATTTCTTCAAAATTTCACGTCTTCAAGTCTTTTCTTTTACTAACAAAAATTGCTTATACATTTTTAAAGTCTCTTTTCATAAATGAATAAAAAAACTACATAGGCAATGATATAAAATCACAAAGCCGTTGAACACTATCATTTTCCCTATCATTATTTTCTTATATACAAAAAAGATAAAATACAGTTAATAGTTAATAGGTAAAATAATAATAGATGCCGACCGTTTTAGAAGTAATTAGTTTTTTCCTATATTTCTACAGAATTTGAACCAGTTGTACGCGCCGTGCAAATCTCACAGGAGTAGAATTGAATCATCGAACAATCAAGAATTATCTGAGTGGTTAAAAGTTGAAAGAGCTGAGCAAGAATTGTTCTTTAGCTTCATTGATTGAGTAACAATGCCACGTGCTTCAGAATTAGTCTATTTTTATGAATCAATTGTTCAAGGAATTCGGCGAATGATATATGTGGTTGAGATCCAACCTCACGGTCGGAAGCGTCGCATCATCATAAGATATGACAATAGCTGGAAACTCCGAGAAGATGCGAAATAAATGACACTCGAATGCAAAACAATTGTCGGTAATTACAGGTAAATTGCAACATTCGCATTCACGGATATCAATAATAGGAGACAAGTATACCGACACATCCTGATATACCTCAGTTTGTTGCTTCAGCGTTTTTTATACGTCTCTCTATTCGTTCGCTTCTTAAATAGCTTATGTGTAATACGAATAAATTTGAATATAAAGTATTTCATATCATAAACATCCCGAATCTAAGATAATAG